CATTAGCATCGGGGCGAGATGCTGCGAGCGAAGTGAAGCATGTAGATCCGATTTTACCATGCACACGTGCTGTCAGCCTGCCCGGCTCCACTTTGAACGTATAAGAACGGCCAAAGAATATTACCTTTGCAGTCAACGGCGACCGACGTTGCAGCGCTATTTGCCCATACATTAGCATCAGGGGCGGATGCAGGATTTTGTCTAGGGGGGGTGCAGGTGGGAAAGGGCACTTTGAGATTTTGTTAGGGGCAACTGAAGCGGCGGCGCTTCGTGCGCGAGGACCGCTGGTGCGGGGGGACCTCCCCCAGAAATTTTTTAAAAATCAGACTCCTTTTTATGCATTTTCAGAGCATATGAGACGAAATCTTTGTACTTCAAGTCTTGTCATAGCAATGAAACAGACAATTCCAGTACAAGGCAAAATCCACAAAGCCACAAAAACCATCAACTTGCTTGAAATTAACTGCCATCAGAGCGACAAAATACTAGTACCAGTGAAATCAAACTGCGATATGGATTGAACACACTTTTATTACAAAAGAAAATTGAAATCATTACATGTACTAATTTATATGCTTTCCGTTTCATACATTTACTATAAAACTTGAACTTCAACTTGAATTTCAATGACTGATATATTATCTTACTTAAAACATACTGAGTATTACTCTTGCCACAGGGGCGTGTACAGGATTTGTAGCGGGGGGGGGCACAACCGTAACCCAAACTTGGGAGCACGCGAAGGGGGGGTCTGGGGGGCCCTCCCCCCGAAAATTTTGGAAATTAGACTCCCTCAGATGCGTTTTCTGCGCGAGCAGGGGGGGTCCGGACCCCCTGGACCCCCCCCCTGTACACGCCCCTGTGCCAGTAGTACTTACTTTTACCAAATTTAGACCAAATGAGTGGGCTCTTGCCAGAGAGAATATAGTAATAGTACTACTAAGTAGTTTTAAGTAAAAAAATGCAAAGATAACATCGAAAACTATTCAGAATGAAATTATTGAAGCAAAATTAGAGGGGGGTTATTACCCCAGGAGGGTACCAGTCTATGACAAAGCAATCAACGGTGGTGCAGCCTGGCGGCGATCTGTCGCAGCTCAGAAAACAAGTCGGGTCGGCCCCCCGTCCCCCCTAAAAAACTCCTCGGAAAACATCAACTTATTTTTCAGTATTTTTTCTGCTTAAAAATCTATATTATTTTTTTAAAAATTGGGGAAAAAAGGGCAACTCAAAATTTTTAGGGGGGGTGGGCACCCCTGCACCCCCCTCCCCCTGGATCCGCCCCTGAGCATAGCTGGGAATCGTGGCGCGATGATGCGAGCGAAGTAAAGCATGTAGATAAGATTTTACCATGCCCACGTGCTATCAGCCTGCCCGGCTCCAGTTTGAATGTATAAGAACGACCGAAGAATATTATCTTGGCAGTCAACGGCAACCGACGTCGCAGCGCCATTTGCCCATACATTAACATAGCTGGGAATTGTGGCACGATGCTGCGAGCGAAGTGAAGCATGTAGATAAGATTTTACCATGCCCACGTGCTGTCAGCCTGCCCGGCTCCAGTTTGAACGTATAAGACCGGCCGAAGAATATTATATTGGCAGTCAACGGCGACCGGCGTCGCAGCGCCATTTGCCCATACATTAGCATAGCTGGGAATCGTGGCGTGCTGCTGCGAGCGAAGTGAAGCATGTAGATAAGATTTTACCATGC